TCACATATTTTGTTTAACAACCACAGTGATTTGCTCAAAACTAAGGAGGAAGTGAAGTTGTTATCAAATTGTAGTCATATAGTTTAACTTTTACAACTGTAGCACTTGGCAACCAATTTTCCAGTTGCAATTGTCGTTGCTAAGCAAGGACTATGTGTATAATCCTACTTTTTATCCATTTTGGCCAAATCTAAAGTTTTCATAAATTTATGTTACATGTAATTAAACCAAAATCTGTTTTGTTTTTGACTCCCTGTTAATAACTTTTTCTAATGTGTCTAAAAGCATGTATAATTTATTAAAGCAGTCCTATCTCTTCTTTGGACTACTTCTATAATGGGTTGTACAGTAGTCTTTGACTTTTAAACACAACTGAGCCCAACATTTCCATTGCTAAACAAGACAGTTGTTAAGTGAGTTTTGCCCCATTTTATGACCTTTCTTGCCATAGTTAAATGAATCACTGCAGTTGTTAACTTAGTAATATGGTTGTTAAGTGAATCTGGCTTCCCCATTGACTTTGCTTGTCAGGAGGTCGCAAAAGGTGGTCATATGATCCTGGGACACTGCAAGAGTCATAAATACATGCCAGTTGCCAAGCATTCAAATTTTGATCATGTGACTACAGGGATGTTGCAATGGTTATAAGTGTAAAAATTGGCCATAAATAACTTTTTTCAGTGCAGTTGTAACTTCAAATAGTCACTAAACAAATGGTTGTAAGTCGAGGACGATGATCACCTGGATCAGTGGTTCTCAACCTTTTTAATGCCGCGACCCCCAACCGGTCGTAAGTCAAGGACTAAACTGGTTGTAAGTCGAGGACTAAACCAGTCGTAAGTTGAGGACTACCCAACTGGTCGTAAGTCGAGGACTTTCCTTGCCCGGGAGCACCGCGCATGCGTGGTTCCGCCCCCTGCACCGGCCGAGGCGTAGCTGGCAAGCGGCAGAGACGGAGCCGGCTGACCACCAGCTGGCCCAACCCAAGGGAGGTAAGGCACCCGCCGAAAAAGGGGAAAAAAATGGCGGACAGCCTTGCTTGGCGACCCCCGTGAAATGGTCGATCGACCCCAAATGGGGTCGCAACCCATAGGTTGAGAACCGCTGACCTGGATGTTGCAGCAGATACAGAAAGCAGTGGCTCATCTGTTAACCAGCATTTTATCCTAACAGCACATTATGCCTATGCTTCAGATCCCACAATGTCTCCCAATAAGCTTCTGGGTACAATTCAAGGTGATAGTTATTACTTACAAAGCCCTATATGGCCCAACGTCTGGATACCTGCTAGATCACCTTCTTCTGTTACAGTTCACCAAGCTCATCCCAGGAATTAGTTGTATATATAGGCACTGCTTTTCAATAGCCACATCTACCCTTTGGAATAACTTTCCAGTTGAAATTATGTTTGGCCTCACTTGGTTTTGTTTGGGAAGATGTTCAAAATTGCAGACCATTTTTCAGACTGATTGGCACTACCTAGCCTGAATGAATAAATGCATGCATGTGTTTCTTACCTTCATTTCATTTTTAACTTAATCTGGATGTTTTGTTTATGTTTTTATCAATGTTAACTATGAATGTTTTAATATTAGGCTGCATTGATGGTTTATCTGTACAACACTGATAACTGCCAGAAGCATTTCAGGATCTAGTACTTAGAAAAATCACACATTCTTAACTGGGCAATACCGTGTTTTCCCAAAAGTAAGACCTACCCCCCAAATAAGCCCTAGTTTTGGAGTGAGGCGCACAGCTAAAAATCAAACTAGGGTGGGGGTGAGGGGGTGGAGCTGCCCCATGCGCCCCGCACCTGCATAACATTGCAGTCTGCCTCTCCTCGCCAGTCCATGTATTCTGTGATGTCCCCCAGCCTGCATTTCTCAGTCAGAAGCCTTTCCGGAAGGCCTCTGCAGCCGAGAACCGAGCTATGGATTGAATCCATAGCTCATTTCTCTGCTGCAGAGGCCTTCTGGAAAGGCCTCTGACTGCGAAATGCAGGCCAGAGCTCCATTCTCAGCTGCAGAGGCATTTCCTTCGGCCGCAGAAGACGTGGGCTGGCTGGGCAGGGCTGTCGGTGCCCGAGATGAGTGGAGAAGACATCCCCCCAAAATAAGATCTGGTGCCTCTTTTGGAGGCAAAAAAAAATTAAGATTGGTTTTATTTTCGGGGAAGCACAGTATATGTTCTTGATCGAGTCATGCTGATTTGTATCAATGAATTCATCCTTTATTAGATGTTTATATTCTGCTCTAGAATCATTGCATATCAATATCAGATATACTGTATTGTTCCTTTTTGCTTTTGTGATCCTCCTTTTGCTCTTTTTGTCCTTCTTTGTTCTGCTACCTATTCTCCAGGATCCTCAAATAAAGAATAGACATAAAATAAGTAGGTGTTCCCTGATTTGAATATAAATCTTATTTCAACTCCAGATGTTCATCCTTCTTGGTGGAAATATATATTCTCTTTTCAGGAGTCACTGAACCAGAACTCAGTA